TCTGGAGCTGGAAGCGGAGCGGCCCGTCTCCTACCTGGCGAACTATGTGCCGGCCGACTCTCCCGGCGAGCAGATTTCTAAACCCGGCCTCCCGGCCGCTGACTCCAAAGCCTCCTTCGAGGCACACGTCAGAGAAAAGTTTAACAGGATGGTAGAGGCCGTGGACAAAACGATCGAGAAGCGAATCGACAAGCTTACCAAAGAGCTGGCCCAGAAGACGGCGGAGCTGCTGGAGGTGCGGGCGGCTTTTGTGCAGCTGTCCCAGAAGAAGCAGGAGGTGCAGCGACGGGAGCGGGCCCTGAGCAGGCAGGTGGACGTGGCGGTGGAGATGATCGCAGCCTTGAAGCAGCGCCTCACCGAGTCCGAGGAGGAGCTTCATCGGAAAGAGGAGTAAGTGGGGAGGCGAGAGCTGATGGCTTCGCGCGGGCTGGCCAGCACCTGCGCGACTGAAAGCCTTCGGGGGAGACGAGAGGGGATGGTTCGGTTGCTTGCTGATTATTGAAGGGCCTGGTGCTCACCAGCTGCTGATCACTGTGTTTCTAGAGTTGGAGCCCATGTGATCATGTCCCCTGCAAGGCAGGGGACAGCTCCCCGCGCAGGTGGATTTCATGCCTGACTCCCCTGTGACTAACTTTTACACTCTCCAATGCCTGTGTTGTGTCCCTGGTTTCATGGGGGTAGGGACAAGTAGAAGCTATCATCAGTGTGTAATCTGATTTACACCTCTATTCCGTTATCTTTTTAAGAAGAGATGGGTGGATAAGTGCTGGAGGAAGTAGGAAAGAATACCGAATAGCATCTTTTTCCCTGAAGTCATCCCACAGTGGTCAGCCAGCTGCCTGTGGAGCAGGATGGTCTCCCGTGCAGCGGCAAAGCTGTACTGGAGACCGTGCTGAAAAGGTCAAGTAGCTGTTTTAGATGGACACAGAACTGTCAAACTGGAATCGCTTACATGGGAATGGGAAGCAGATGCCAGAGTCGTTCTGACTAACCTAGGCCATCTAAAAATATGTTTGTGATGCATCCATTAAAAATGTAGTGATAGCTGATATATTATTTATACATGAACTACTTAGTTTATTCAGCACTTCCTGAAACCTTTCAGGCTTTTCAGAGCAACACAACTTATTTTAGAGGAATGCAGATAAAGAGCCTTGGTAATGGAGTGCTTCTAAACATTCCATCAGCTTACAAGAGGAAGATGAGAGGTGCCAGTTGCCATGACGCTGATCTTAAAAGAAATAAGGAAGGTGGTGTAGGAGTTCAGTGTAGGAAGTTTGGAGGGCTTTCATCGTTCCTTCCTGTAGTCTAAGGACTAGAAAGAAAAGATGATGATGGCTCCTATATGAGTAGGAGCCATCTATCTTCAGGCAGTGCTATAGATTTCCTAGAAGAGGGGACAGCAAAGGTGGTGGGATACACATGCCTCTGGGGTGTGTACCTTCCTTGAAAGGATATTCAGCAGAACCTCTGATTTTTGAAATATCAGGTGATCCTCATGGAAGAGAAGATTGAAGGACTCAAGATGAAGCTAAAGATAATAGTGGAACTGAGACAGATTTGAAAGTATGCTGGAAGGAGGCCATGAAGATAACTTACAGTTTGACGCAGTTTTGGTATTCCCATCTAGCCAAACCCCCGTTATGGGCTCTTTCACAGCGTGATTCATCCTACTTCTTCTAGAAAAGTATCATAGAGGGGGAGGGATTGCTCTGTGGAGGTCCTTCCTCTATGGACGAGAGGGGGACCTCAGGTAAGCAGCCATCTTAGACTAGATGCTGAACTTCAGATATCTAAAATTAAGCGGTATGAATCTTACCCCAAACTAAACACAGAATGTGTTTTTAAAATTCAAGGCTTGAGATCCACAGGAAAAACGTGACTGTCAGGAGAAAGCAGAAACCATTCAGTGGAGCAAAACCAGAGTTCTGCAGTGCTGCAGAAGAAGAAAAGAGCTTGTGGAAGAAGAGGAAGGGGGCAGTAGAGTTATCTGGGTAGAAAGAATGGGTATGATGTGGGGAGGATGGCAAAGGACACTGATCTGTCAAAAGAACAAGGCAGCAAAAGTTGCAATTTTTAACTATATTGGGAAAAGGCATGAGGAAGAGGCTGCTTGCCCCTTGCTAGCAGCAGTGGCAGGCTGTGGTTCTGAGGCCAGAAAAGACTGAACACAGAATGAGAGGAAAGTGGGGAAACACTGTCCTTCACACCAGGACATTGCCAGGCCCAGGAAAGGGGCAGGAGCTCAGACAACTGCTGTTACAATTCTAGCCATCTCTGAAGGAGGAGGCTGAATGCATAAGCAGGTGAGGAGGTAGCTCCTAAGTTGGTGTCACAGGGAAGACTGAAGGTTATTTGACTAGTAAGAAACACTAATCAAAAGAGGTAGTTGTACAAGAGACTTCACCCGAGTACCCAGGGTATTGCTCTTGTAGGATTACCTCTAGCCTGCTTCAGCTTTAAATAAAGACGATAAAAAAAACTTGGAAATAAAAGCATCAATAAGAATGAATGAATAGGTACTGCACAGTGGTGTGTTAACTTCGAAAGGTAAATGAGCCTAATGCTTGCTAGTGGGTAGGATGAAAGAATATCAGCCCAGAGTACCCAGGGGGAAAGAGGAGAGTAATAGTATGTTCTTCCATGTGCCTGTGCCTAGCCCCATAGCATTGCCTCTTAGAAGTTACTATGAAGGTACTCTGAGGAGGCTGGGAGGGTAGGCAGGGTGCAAGAATAGGTAGAGTTCACCTAGGAAAAACTGAAAATGTTTGGGGTTTTTTTTGTCTTCCCTTGTTCAAATGGTTCCTGCATTTCCCCTCTTGGAAGATAACAAGGGATAGTGCCATAGAAAAATGCACTGTATGGCTTCCCAATTAAAAGGTAATGACCTTTTATATGTATTTAGCAAATTGAGAAGGAAGGTAGATATAATAATGCTTTGTAAAAGCAGGACTAGTACTTATAGGGGCAGCTTTTCAGATTTGAACCTCTGAAAATGTCTGGGACATTTAGCTTTGCACCAGTAGCCGGGAGGCACTGGATGGTATCCTCTGGTAGAGGGGAGAAGAAAAGATGTTCATGACTCTGGTAACAAGTGTCACTTGTCTGGTTTTCTTATGGACTGTTGGTAAATTCTGAGACCTGTCTATGTACTCATTCCTTTGTGTGTTCAAAAACTTACTTATTTGGTGTGCTGAAAGGACTTTCTCCGTCAAAAAAGGAGGATCTCAACTTTGGCTTTGATTTCTGGAAGAAGTCCAGGTGATTAGAAAGCCAAACAAAACTGCTTAATGGAAATTGCAGAAGCAGGAGTTCTCACTGCAGATTGTGGAAAGTCAAAGGCAGCCCTTAGGGACTGCTTTGATACTTGCTGACCTTCAGAAATAAATGCTTTCATCAGTTTCTTTGGATTTTTTTTTTTCATACGCAATCTTGTGAATATGGATAACTTTTCCCAGAACTAGCATTGATATTGAGCCACTGTAGCTGAAAATTTGTTCCTCTTTCTCCTTTGTAGGAGGAAAAAGAAAAGACCTTCTTCCCTGAAACACCTTCTTATCTTATTTCTAAGGAAGCAGAGGAAACCAGTCTTCCCTTGGTCTCTGAATGGTTGTCCCCACTACCAGAGATCATGGAATATGGTGCATGTGAAGGCAAGAAAGGGCTTATAATCAATATGCACTTCTAGATCTCAGACAGAGGTATGGCTACTCTAGATTGGTCTGAGGGTAAAAAAAAAACCCCACCAAACTAAAACAACCCCACAAACTATCCAAAAGGGGGGGGTGGGGAGGTGGAAGTCTAGTCCAAATCTTAGATAAGGTCACAAAAACTCTTCTTTGGAGGCTCTTCTAGAGAAGAACCTGAAAATTTTTATGGGGATCCTTTCAAGTAACTCTTGAAAAATAACAATGTTCTGATAAAGAATTTACAGAAGTTTATACTGGGCCCATATTTGAGTATTCCTCCATGTCCACCTACTCTGTCAGTATCTTATATGAATGGGCAATCACTATCAGTGATCAAATTACTCCATAATACTGAATTTAACAATCCAGTATATTTTCATCTTTATAAAATGTGCCCAGATAAGCCAGGGACCTATCTGGGCTGTTAGGCTAGACCTGCTTCTACATGTAAGAATGAAAGAATTAACCAGATACAGAAGGTAGAAGAGGATGTGTTTGCAGGTTTAACCATCACTCCTGACCTATAAATTGGTGATGGAAAAAAAAAAAAGTTGGGATTTAAGAAACTTCTGCTTTTAAAGGGTATACAAGAATATGACAGAAAATAACAGTACAGTTGCACTTTGGATAATGGGTCTGATTGTGAAGTCAAACAGGAAAGCTAAGGGAAAGGAAGAATGTGCATTAGCAAGCCTAATTTTATTAGGAAGCCCCAAGAAGGCTTAGGGAGGAGAGATCTAAATTCTTTGTTTAAACATCTGGGTTTCCTGAATAAGGAGATGGAGCTCTTTTAGGCCTCACATCTTTCCTCTGTGCCCAGCCTAGTGAAGGCAGACATTGCACTGCTGTGGCTCTGGCAGTCCTCAGCAGAGGCAGTAGACCTGAGGTCACTTTGACTCAAGGGAATTTCATTTCTACCTCTCTGTTCTACCTGTAAAAGCCCGTATGTCCTGAGCCTTTGCCTGGACCAAGCACGTGAGGCAGATACATAAAAACTGTGATGCACCAAGTGGCCGCATTGTCAGAAGCTGGTTTCTCTGCTGTGTTCTCCAAAGCAAGCAGCAAATCTGTAAACTTCATAACTCTATAGGGAGTGAATTCTTCTCAGAGTTACATTGTTGTTGCTAATCAAAGCACTAATTTCAAATTATAGCACTATGAGTTTTTACTGTTGACCTCTCATTCCGATGAGAGGGAGGAATGTTGGTTTAGGCCACCAGCAGGCACAGGGCTGCCCATTTGAAGAGTTTGTAGGGTCAGTAAGGTTATTTCTTTACACTTGGCAGTTAATTATTTTTTGTTTGTTTTAAATAAAGCCTATAGCAGTCCAACAAAGGCAGAGATAAACTGAAGATACCTTTTTAGTTGAATTTTATTTCTGTTCCCTTACAAAAATGCCTGTAACATGCTGTTACACTAGCGTGATGCCCTCGTGGAGATGAACTGTGGTGAGGAGTAGGACAGGTGGAGGTACCGCGCTAACTATACTAATACATAGTTGAAGTAGTATTACTCTAGGCACAGAAGAGTCTTGCAGCAGTCACTCTTGTGCCACTTATTCTCATATTTAGAAAGTCAAAAGGTCAACGCTTTTTTATTATTATTATTATTTGGGGAGAAAAAAGAAAACTGGATGTTCTAGAGAAGCAGGCACAGCTACCAAAGACAGGTCCCAGATCACCAACCTGCCTCAGTTGGGCC